TTGTGAACGTTAAGATTCCATTTTCACATCTTCTTAAACAGGCTTACACTTTTTGCAAATAAGCTCATATTTGAGTGAGTTTCTCTTTTTTCTACTACAGGCACAATATACAGCAATATGTACTACAATAAAGCTCAAAACTAACTGTGTTTATGAATAAATGGTTCTCTTCTTTGTCGATAAAACATGACTGCGAAAGAAAGAAAAAGGACACTTGGGGGATATTACATGACACGCTAAACACTTGCCTTTCAAAATGGCGGCCGAACAAACACGAACAAGTAACCACGCTTATTTGTAAGGCGTGTCTAGTGGTAAATCACCCTGAAATAGCATTAACCGTGGAAAAATGTATAATTCAAGGTAAAGTAATTATTTGCTTTACTTGAACTGAGCGCTTTTTTTATGAATTATGCGATTTTTGTTGATATCTTCAAGTTATCGCACGTCGCTTCTACGAAAGTAACGAGGGCGAGCCTATGGATGGGAACTTAAAATAAATGTGGTAAGAGGTCTGTAGTTTGAAAGAATAATAAAATTTGAAAAGGCAAAGCAATTTTTTGAAAACTTATTGAGTGAAGCGATCGAAACATGGATGAAAGTGAAAGTTACCCCCCGAGGATGTAATTTTTAGTTCAGAGCCCCCCTCACGTCTGAATTTCCAGAGCCGTTAACCCCCCCTCCCGTGAGATTTTCCAGCATGCCTTCCGTCGTGGGGGTGTGGATTTTTTCTGGAATAACCGAATGCTTCCGTTAAACAATCACTTGGAATCCAGTGGATGACAAAAATTGAGTGCATAAAAATTATCTTACACGTGAAATTTGAGAGGAAACGCATTTAAGGGAGATATTTTATGGCACTTCGGTTTTTCAGCAAAGTAGTATGAATTGTATTGGCAGCCATGTTGGAGGGCATGCTTTTGCTCTTCAACATGACACGCAGGTTACATGACGGCCAAAACAACTTTTTGCTTGTATCATGTTTGATAGTTATGCTCAGATGTGCTTTAAACATTATCACGTCATCTTTTCAACAATTTCCGTCAAGTTTAAGTGCAAAATTTCTGTTCAGGAAGAGGTAATTCATAGTTTTAAAAATCAAATTTTGGTCACGTGACCAGCCATATACGAACATCCTCATATTTTTAAGGAAATGGTGCAGGTTTGAAAAACTAAAGCACTATTTTTTTGTTTAAGATATGACCCACTAATCGTTTTTTGACGCCAAAATCATATAACTTTCATAAAAATGATGTCACATGACTTCTAATCTGCAAATGGTCTATTCGCGATATTTGAAGACCTGGGGGGTTGGCAGCCGTGAATGAGATGGGTACACATTGCACCTATTAAGGGTTTTAACCTATTTACAAATACATGTATGCAGTCCAGAGAAAGAAAAGACATGGAAATTTTGATGCAAGAAGAAACAAATTTTTAGACCCCGCGAAAAGTCATCACCAATTTTACAAATTGTTACTGTCCCCGTCCTCCTGGGAAAATGCAGTGTTACAAAAGCATAATTCCATGGCTATGTGCCCGTTACTCCCTCGCTATGTCTAGGGGTTCGGTAGGCCATGGTTTCAATTGACTGGTGCATTTGACTTTCGGCCACCGTGATACCCAGAAAATGAGCGTTTTTGCAAATTGCCTTACAATGTATTGCAAACCCTTTAAGAATGTTATGTATGTCTGCGTAATCTACGTCACTTAAACGTCAGTGTGTTTGGATTTTGTTGTAATCACTTTTATTTCCTTTCTATATTTCAATTTTCTGAGATTAACAAATGAACTATATTATGCGACCCATTGATTTTACTTTTATCATCTGGCTGCTGCTCATATATACATAAATTCTGTTCAAGTACCAAAGACTTCTGGTGTCTTTTCTTCCCAAAGCAGCGTTTAAAGAAAGTAGTGTCCGATAGCCCGGGGCTAGTGGATTTTGCTTTTAGGCTAGTGAATTCTGTTTATAACTTGCCCGACAGGCAAGTTATATATTTTTAGGAATTCAAATAACACAAGAACAGTTACTGTAATCAATCCTGCTCATGAAATTTTTTTTGGGCTAGTTGAAATGACTTTTGGGCTAGTACATGCTAGCTACAGCTTGCCTGAGTGGCAAGCTGTAAAACCGACTTTCTTTGCACCCTGCAAAGCTATGACCAGATAATTTTGGGTCATTTTGCGTACAATTGTCACAATCAATCCCCCAAATGAAAAAGAACTGACTAGTGCCCAGGACCACGCAAAGCTACAAAGAACATCTTGTAGCTGCTTTTCATGATCGTTCATCAAAGCTGTTCTGTGAAAGAGAAAACAAGGTGTTTTTGGAAAGGGATTATGGCCTTAAAAGAACTTACAACTAAGGGTTCTGAAAATCTTGGTCATGAACAGGAAAACGTGTATTTATAGAAATGCTAAACACATCACTGATCAGTATTGACCAGAATTGTGCAGATTTTTCAGAATTGTGTGGGATTTTGTGGGTTTGATCGAATTGTGCGGTCCCTCTGCACCCGCGCACCCTGTCAGAAGGCCTGTGATTAACACAGTGCTTAACATTTGAAAGTACACGTGCATGTAAAATATGCCCGTTGGAAAATAAAATGTCTAATAATGTTTCCTGCCTTTCTTATAGATGCAAAGATGTACACGTAAAATAGTTAGACTAAGAGATAACATTATGGGACAGAGAGGGAAACGCCCAGTCTAGCCCTAGCATGAGGCCTGGATGTGTGAATTTCACCAAAGTTATTTTTAGGCCAATTAAATGCTCAAAATAATTCAGGAGTTGTTTTCTGAAGAAGTCCCCAAATTTTTCAGTGTTGTCAAGAAGGAATGTAACAGTCACCAATACAATATTCTCAAAAGTCTGCTTTGAGGCAGTTGCAGTGGACTTTATGACATTTCAAACAATCGATTAAAATGTCTGTACATCTCAGGAATTAGACTTCTGCTTAATTACAACCTCTAAAAATAACTTTGGTGAAATTCATATATCCCAGCCAACACCAGGTAAGATTTCCTCCCTGTCACATGATTCTGTCTTGGTCAGACTTGAAATTCCTCTTGTAAAGCAATACTGTTTACACATAATAATTATATTTTTTAGAGATTATAGAGATTACAAAGAGGGATATTATGTTCTGAATCTTACTTTGGGTGGAGGATCAGTGACCAATACTTGCCTGGTAAGTTACTATAGCTGCAGATGTGCAAAAGTGGATAACATTTTGCTTGTGCAAAACATGGTTGCATGCTTAAAGAAAAATAATATGGGATTAGATTCTTATCATTACTTTAATGTTAAATATAATGAGTTATAACTTGCCTCTGTGCTATCCCGCTCTCCCTCCCCCTTTTTTCTGCCCAAGTGGATGGGGTGAAATTTAATCCTCTTTGTTGGCCTTCACCGGGTAAAAAGACGGTGGTGTACATTAAATTGAGGGGGCGAGGTAAAACGAGCTTCAAGCTCAGACAAAGTCTGTTGAGACGTCACTTCACAAAAATGCATATTTTTTGCACCTAACCTGACAAGAATGCTTACCATGACCAATTGAATGACCATTTCCCCCTCCCCTCTTCAAATGTTGTTTGTAGTAACCCCAGAAAAACTGACTACATGTTTATGGCTATTAATCAGACCAAAACTGTGTTGAACTTGGGTGGTGAGGGGTTTGGAGTGATGGTAGTGTGGCGTGTTATTAGAAAATACCTAGAAATAATGAGAACTTGGTGGAAGAATTTCGAATGTTTAAAGCAAATGACAAAAATTGCACTACATTTCAAGTTGTGCAAGTGTATGGTTAGCCACTCGGGTAAGGGTGTAGTGGCCAAGTTGGTTAAGTGGGTGTTACATGTACCTCTTATCATAAGAGTGCTAAAGTGTTAGGCAAACAGGGTGCAGTGTTAGGCAGGCAAACAATGTACTCCTCTGGACTAACTTTGTGAGACAAAAAGATTCTGTGCTCATGCTCAACATTTGTTTCGAAACCTTGAATTTTGTTCAGTTCAGCTGGGATGCTGGTTTTTTTTTCATGGTGGCATATTTACAAATTTACAATCCTTATTACACACATCGTCATCATTATCTTTGAAAATCTTGAGGATGTTTTGTCCATTTTTTTGTTTTATGTTGTATTCTCTTTCTTTTTCGTTGTAGTAGTCTTTTTTGTTGTGGATTTACATTTACCATGTTCATCCGCATTGTGTACAAAATTGGGGGGCTAAATCTTGTAGTCATAGCGGGTACGTATGTCATTTCTTTTGCGGCTTTAGATACAACAACAACAACAACAACAGTTTATTCAGTTATCAAATAATTTAAGTCTTTGTTTTGTTACCCACAATTAGCGGAGCTATTCCAGGTGGGCAACAATACAATAATTATCTCCTACAAAGTCGGCAAAAGAACGGTAAGTAAAGAGAAAGCAAAAATAAAATGAAATAAATAAATAAGTAAAAGGTATCACCTATAGATATAAGGAAGGAAAGCACTGACTGACTGAAACCAAATGAGTACTTTATTGTATGAGGTACGGAGCATATATATATATATATATATATATATATATATTTTACTGTCTTTCTTTTTCGTACTCTAGGTGCTGTTGATAGATTAAATACTGAACAAGCTTATCGTCTCTTCCAACATGGCGGAAAAATCATCACGTTCAGCCAGCTCTCCTTTTGCGACGATAGCAAATGTAGGCAAATTATATAGACTTCTTGTTGATGGTGGAACAGAAGCTCTAAGAATTCAACTGCGTAAGTTTTATACACCTTTCCCTTCCGAGCTGGTCAACGTCCTTGAAACGAATCGGGGTAAAATCCAAGAACTCGTAGAAAGCAAGGTTTTAAAGAGTGATCAGTTGAACCAACTTCGCCCAATAGACGGAAGTGACCCAGACCCTGAAAAATTTGACATCAGTCTAATTATTTTTATTCTCACAAATTTTTGTCCGTCAGTACACCGCCCTCACACAGGCTGGGACAACATGCCACACGAAAAGGACCGATCCCTTTCAGCGAAACTAGTTCGTTTAAGGCTTTTTCGTAATAAGCTGCTTCATCGAGCTAACACACGTTTTGAAGAAAAGGAATTTCTGGATCTCTGGAAAAAACTTGGGGGTATTCTTTGTTCTCTTGGTCTACAATCATCAGACATAGAAAAGTTGAGACTGGAGGATTGCGAGGAGAAATATTATTTTGAACTTTTAAAGAAATGGGCCGACTCAGAGGAAGATTCCAACAGGAGGTTTAAAGCAATTTATGAAAACCAAGTCAAAGCACAGCAGACTCTTCAAGATACAAACCAAAGAGTTTATATAGTAGAACAGAACCAAATGGAGGCTAGCAAATTGCAGCAAGTGGACCACAAAACTCTTGAAGATACACGCCAGGTAGCTCAAGATACAAACCAAAGAGTTCGTAGAGTAGAACAGAACCAAATAGAGGCTGACAAATTGCGGCAAATGGACCACAGAACCCTTGCAGATACGCACCAGGTAGCTCAAGATACAAACCAAAGAGTTCTTCTAGTAGAACAGAACCAAATGGAGGCTGGCAAATTGCGGCAAGAAGACCACAGAACTTTTGAAGATACACGCCAGGTAGCTCAAGATACAAACCAAAGAGTTCATAGAGTAGAACAGAACCAAATGGAGGCTGACAAATTGCGGCAAGTGGACCACAGAACCCTTGCAGATACGCACCAGGTAGCTAAAGGTGTACAGCGGTCTGTGCAAGATACAAAACAGATAGTAGAGAAAGTTTTGAGAACCCAACAAGAAACGCAGCAGCAGATCAAGGAGGCAGCTGCAGACGCTAACGAAAGAAGAGATAAAGGTAAAGAAGATGAAGCAATGAGAAAACTGGCAAAAGTTAATACAGAGAGAGACATCCAGTATCACTCTGGGAAATACCAGGAGGGAACGCGCTTGCGCATCTTTGAGAAGATAAATTTGTGGCTAGACGACCGTACTTCTGAAAATCGTGTTATGGTAATCAGTGGAGGTGCAGGAATGGGTAAATCAGTGATTTCCGCTGTCGTTTGTCAAAAAATGGAAGAAGCGGGCCGGCTCTCGGGAATTCATTTTTGTCATTATGACAAGGAACGTAACAGAAACGCCAAGGTGATGCTTCAGTCGCTAGCTTGTCAGCTGAGTGATGTTTTGCCACAGTACAAAAAAGAACTTGTTGTAGCATTTTCAAGAAATTTAGGTGAAGACGTCAACAACCTAGAGGTTAGAGAACTGTTTGAATTGCTGTTCTTGGAGCCTTTAAGAAATGTAGATGATCCTGGGAAAAGCTTTCTTATGGTGATTGATGGCTTGGATGAAAGTGAATACAAAGGCCGCAATGAGCTGCTTGATGTCATTGCCAATCACTTTTTTACACTTCCCGTTTGGCTTCGATTTTGTGTCACAACTCGACCGGAAATAAATATCGCAGACCGTCTTAAAAAGTTCAACCCTGTTCTCCTGGAGCAAGATGATGAAGAAAATGTAGAAGACATCAGACTCTTCCTTGAAACACAGCTGTGTAGTGTCATTCAATCAGGCTCTGAAGAAGTTGTTATCGATGCACTGGTCCGAGAGACTGCAGGGCATTTTTTATATGCTTATTTGATGGTTAATTTTATCAAGGAAAACTTGTCACTTCTCTCCCCCGAGGAGTTAGGAAGAACCTTACCTTCAGGTGTATTTTCTTTTTATCAGTCCTACTTTGAACGTCTAGAGAAAGAGTGGAAAATTGGCGAGGACCAGTTTTTGACTTTTCTAAGCGCTCTGGCGGCTGCAAGAGAACCACTTCCTGTAGACTTTGTTTCTAAGATGTTGATTTCGGACTCGAAGCCCCCATCTGGTCATCGGAAAGTAAGAAAAGCTATCGAATCTATCTCAACACTTCTTCCTGTTCGTGATGACTGCATTGTGTTCTTCCACAAATCAGTTAAAGATTGGTTGACGGACAGAACCGCCGACGGGCGCCACAATTTCTCTGTGGATGAAAAACAAGGTCATGTCATGCTTTCTCAGCTCTGTATTGGTGAACTGAATAACGTGAAAAGAAAAGGCGTTCACGGCACAGAATTCAGTAACACTGCATTGTACGCCCTACAGCATGGTGTTTATCATACGCTTGAGTCGGAAGAGGTGACAGAGTGTACAAGAAGCTTTGAAGAAATCGTTAACAACTATGTCACCGACTTAGACATTGTATATGCAAAGCTTTGTGTAAACAACACGGCTAGTTCTGAAGACATTATCCTTACTCAGAAACAAGAAGCTTTTCAGTCATTGAGTAGTGAGAGCCAAAAAGCCCTCGGCACGTTGTTGTCTCTCTTAAGAAAGTACCATGGAAGACTTTCGACGCATCCTAGTACAATATTTCAAGTGATGGTGAACGAGGGAGGGGACGTTTTTGCTGATGAAGCGACGAAAGTTTTACAGAGTCGTGAAATACCATACATGGAGTACCTTCATAAGGAAGCTTTGAAGGCGCTGAATAAGACCCAGGCTGAGTTTCCTTGTAAATCCGCGGTTGCTTGTTTTGATATTTCCCCTACGCAGGAGTTCATGGTTTGCGAATGTACTGATGGGATGATTTATCTTTGGTCACTTAAAACGGGTGAGCAAAGGTGGGTACGTCGGGTTAAGATCGACAAATACTACATTGGACCTCGTGTCCCCTTTAGAGTGGTACCATACTCAGATGTATACTCATGTTATCGCTCTGTTGTTTTTCACCCTACTAAGCCCATTGTTCTTCCTGGAATCCTTAGCCATGCTTACTCGTTTAAAGGAAAGTTCGAACCTCTGTTTCCTAGAAGCAACTGCAGATTTTCTGTTTGTTCAGTTCATGGGGACGAGATCAAACTTATCACCGATTGCCCTGGCGATGCTAAATGCCTTGTCATGTGGAATCTTGAAAATGGCGAAGAGATCACTCGAACCGTCAGAAATGAAGATGTTTTGTCTTTTGCTTGGTCTCCAGATGGAACGCTTCTGGCAATTTCCCATTTTTCGGGACTGGTGTGTTTGGTTGACGCATTGAAATGCTTAGACACCACTCTCGCAGAAGTCGCCACCTCTCAACCTTGTGGAATGATAAAGTTTACCCCTGACATTAAATTCCTTTTTGGTTGGTCTCAGTCATTTCGAACCTTAAGTTTTCGCTTAAACGTCATTAAGTTGCCTTGTGGCACCTTTTCCTTGAACGTTTTAGACAGTGATCTTGTCCATGATTCTCGGGATTACGAATCATCTAGCAAAGGTGGATTCTTGATGGGAGATCCTATGTTTAACAGCATTTCCTCGGGCGTTTCACGTGGGGGGTTTGCATTTGTATTAAACAACCAAAGTGTATTAATGGTACTTCCTAACAGCAGGAAAATTACAATGCTTAAACATGAAGATTACATGAGGGCCACCTGCCGTTATCCTGTCTTTTCTCGTATCTGTCGCATTGCCTTTGCTTTAGATGGGAAGACCATTTATGGTACCACTGCAGAGAAAAAAGGCGTACAAACTGTGGTATCTTTGGATGTGTCGAGTGGAGATCGTAAAGCAGAGAAGGTGACAAGTACATTTGATGTTTTACTTGTACCTGTGTCAGAAGGTGTCCTTTTGAAAGAAATTGTACCTGAAGGTGTCTTCGTGAGCGAAATTAAACCTAGGGCGGATGTTCAGCTGTGGAATTTTGAGTTGTCACAACAAGTCCGAAGTTGGCCTAATTTAAGCGAGGTTATGGATATAATGCCAGTCTCAGACAACTGTGTAGCGTGTTTGGGTAAAGATTTTGTAAGCATTCTGAACGTATCAAATGAAAACATAGTGAAGACTATCCCACTTTGTCATAAGGGTTTAAAGCCAAAATATAATCCGTATCAAAAAAGAACCGTAGTATGTAACAGTAAATATCAGCTGCTATCCACCGCTCCTAGCTCAGTTCAGCTGTCAGACGGCAAAAGTCAACTATGGAAGAGACCTCTGAGATGTGCACGGTTTTTAGGTAGCTGGAGCCTACCTGGGATGTTTTCTCCAACAGAGGAGTTTGTCCTTGTCTCGTCTACAAACTCTCAGTCAAAGAAAGAAGTACTTGTGCTTCAAGCATCCTCAGGAAATTATCTCCGGACGCTATGCACCGTTGACAGTATTCTTGGCTGTGCCTTTGTAAGTAAGACGGAATGTGTTATCGTCTGCGATAATACTTCAGGGAGTTATTGTCTTCAGTTGTTCAATGTTAGCACTGGGGATTTCCTAACGGTACTTGATATAGATTTTATACCGTCCCCGTGGCTGGCTTCCTGTCCACAAAAGGGTTTGATCGCTATTGGCCATGCGGACTCCAATTATATGTGCGCAGTTATCCAAGTAAAACTGCCTCGAGACAAAGTAAACTGGGAAACAAAAGGTGAGCCATGCATTTTTTCCTTAGGGTTAGTCGAAGAATTGCTAAGTTTACGTAGCGTCGACAGACCACACCCACATTAAATTGGCAATATTAGTTGCAAAAGGAGCTTGTGTGAAGGATAGTGCAGTTTGTGGATATTAGTGGGGTCGAACCACTATTAAGCAGCCGCTCTATTTAGCGGCCTGTTACAAGATTCCCTGCGAACTAAGCTGTCAGTAAATCACTGTAAAAAGTACTTTTATGAAACCGCCACTGGTCCCTTTCCCGAGACTGACCGCTGGCCGCTTAACACTTCAAGTCCCAAGGGTGACCAACCTCAATTTTCCCCTAACAATATCAATACATCATCATAAGAAAACGTTATGAGAAGTGATGAAATGATCACCTTAGAGAAAATGCTTTGATCTTTAAACAAATTCTCTCAACTAATTCTTTAGGGAAATTTATGGAGATCAGTCTGGAGAATTTGTCTGTCGATATTGGGGCTTATACAGGGTTAACAGAGGTTCCACTGTCTTTCCTTCTCCATTGAGCGAGATATCTCATGTCCAGAAATCTTTGTGAATCTTTAAAAACTTTGCCAGTAGCTTTCTTCTTAATTTTCAAATATTCTTGCAGATTTGGTAGATTACATAGATCTTGTTTGATTAATAGAGATGTAACAATTATTTTGGGATTTCAGGTCCTTACATAAGCAGATATTTTCTAATTTCATGCGTAGATTAAGTATTGTCGATTGCTTTTGGTTTTAGCATTCAGTTTTCCCTTTCCATAGTCATCCAGGAAAATTTCACTGAAGCAATCACAAATAAGTGGCCTTTATAGTTTCAATATTATTATTTGTATACATCAATTTTCAATCCGTCAACTGAGAAGCTTGTTCATCATATTTTAATGTTTTGCAGTTTCCGAAAGCTCAACACTTGGAGACAAAGGTTGTGCCACAGTGCGTCGACCGGGCAACGAATTGTGAGTGCAAGATTTTCTTTTCTCTCCCGTTCCGACTGTGATTGATTGATCATTTTACTAATTTTTTTGTGACTGGGGAGACCAGGCTTCATTAGCCTTCTGGTTTCTTCTGGGCTCCCTTGCCAACTAACAATTCTTATATGTATTTTTGCATTGTAATTTACTTTGGCTAAATAAAACTGAACTGGACTGAAATTGTAAAACGTTTTGGTAAATTAAGTGGAGTTTCGTTGCAAAAAAAAAAAAAAATGTTACGTTACGTTATGTTAGGAACCGTTAACATTGTTTTAATAGCAAACGGGTAGGCATATAACCGGGATTATAATACGGGATTTTTATATTGGAAAGACTCTAGTGGCAGCTGACTCAGTTAAACTGAACTGAACAGAATTGTTACTGCTAATAGTCTCTCACAATAAGTGTGGATGTTCTTGATATTCTTTTGTACTTTTAGAATGTATCTTTTCACTACGAACTTTTATATACCTCTGCCTATTCTATTCAAAACCGTTATATTTTTTATATCTACCAGTACTTGTGTCTTGTAAGTAGAACTTAATAAGTTTATTTCTATTTTTTTATTGATGGTTGTGGTAGTGTTTTTCGTCTTATTGTACTGCGAAATAGTTGTTGATGTTTAGTCCTTACTTATTAATCCTGCAGTTTGGAGCCTCAAGATTGATGATGGATGTACATGAAGTATCCAGGAATGGTACGTGAGCAGCCAGTCTCTTATTGACACATTGACAGGAGGTGGATTGAACAACACGCTGTAAAAAAACCCTTAAAAATGGAAAAGCTTCGAAAAGTATGCCATCAACAGTACGTTTAACCTTTTAATAAAAATAATATTCATCTTTTAGCAACGTTTTAGCATCGTTTAAGGATTTACAGCAATTATTAGCAAGTAAATCAGAAAACCTCTAGAATTTTGATGCAGATTATCGTAAGGAAATAGCAAATAGCAATTGGCAATAGCTTTAGGTTTAAATTTAAACGACCGTTGACAAAATCTGGATTGGACCGGACTCAGGGTCAGCCTTTGTTACTCTATCCCTAACCTTTTGTTATTTAGTGAGTTACTGCGGTTTATTCAATTCCGGCGGTCCGATCCGAGGGTTGTTGACGCCTTACCTAAGTTTTTTATATGAAATAGCTTCTACAATTTGCAAGTCAAACAAGAAACCCAAAGAAATGATGTTCATTATCATCATGACCTGTAGCTTAAGGTTGATAACTGAAGACTAGAGTTTTTTGTCGTCATTATATTAAATGACTTAGTTTAGCGAGTTAAAAGAAACACCTAAGAACTTACTTTTAGTATCATAAGCAATCGCTTAAGTTTCATGTTTCAAGAGTTCTTTATTCTTATTGGTGTCATTTAATGGCTTAGATCGAATTAGCACTCTTACTTTGTATCATCATGACCTGTAACTTAAGGCTGATAATTGCAGATTTGTTTGGTTGGTAATGATTAGTTTAGCAAATGAAAAGGAGAACCTAAGAACTTACATTCAGTATCGTAAGTAATAGTTTACGTTTTGTATTTGAAGAGTTCTTTACTTTTATTGGTGTCATAAAATGGCTTAAAATAAGCACTCCAAGTGTATTAATATGATCTGTCGGTTAAGGTTGGTAATTGCAGTTTTTTTGTGTCGGTATTATATGACTTAATTTCGTCAGTGAATAGAAACACCTTAAAACTTACGTGTAGTGTCATGAGCAATAGCTTAAGTTTTACATTTGAAAAGTGTTTTTTATTGGTGTCTCTTAATGGCTTAGAACTAGCACTTAAGTAAAACAGAACCTTAAGAAGTGATGTTCAGTGTCAGGCGTCATGATTGACCATGAGCTGAAAGATGATAGTTGTAGAGCTTTTCGTCGGTATCAAAGTAAATGAGTCAGTTTAGCAAGTGAAAAGGAAAACCTAAGAACGTACTTTTAGTATCATAAGCAAAAGTTCTATATTTAAAGAGTTCTATATTTTTATTGGTGTCATTAAGTGGCTTAGATCGAATTAGCACTCCAAGTGTATCATCTTGACCTGTAAAGCTAAGGTTGATAATTGTAGAGATTTTTGTCGGTATATTAAATGACTGTATTTTAGCAAGGAAAAAGGAAAACCCAAGAGCTTACATTCAGTATCGTGGGCAATAGCTTAAGTCATAAATTTTTTTATTGTAGTCATTAAATGGCTTAGAACTAGCACTTAGTAAAACATAGCCTTAAGAAGTGATATATTTAGTCAGCTGGTTTAGTATCCGGCATCATGACCAGTAACTGAAGGACGATAGTTGTAGAGTTTTTTGTCAGTATTATTAAAACAAATTAGTCAGAAAGTGAACGGAAAAACCTAAGAACCGAGGCGTAGCTGCCTTAAAAGCCATTAAGCCGGGGTTAACAAAAATTTGGGTTAAAATGAGCGTATACAAGGGAAGGTACGTTTTTAATTGGATGGGGGAGGGCTGGGTCGTAGAGGCAACTATACGATCCTTCCCTGACAATGACAAGCTTCCTGATTACCATTATCTACCACTATCAGCAACATCTATCGATGGTCGTGAACCTGATGATTTTCAGCCCCAAGCTCAAATGGAAAGAAAGCTCCACCAAAACAAATTAAATCCAGCAGACGACGAGACAATGGCTGAATTTTCTTGGAACTGTATTGTACCGCTGAAGTTTGTGAAGAAAGACTATGTTGATCACCTTGCTCAAATTGAAATTCGTAAGGAAAAGCGAAAAACTGAAAGTGAAAGGCAGCAAACGCAGTGGCTGGAACAAGATAACAACGACACTGAATGAGAACAATTGTATAATTCTGACCAAATATCGTCGTTGAAAGTTCGTGAACTTAATTTGTACTTTCGGTGTACTTGGTACGTCATGGAATCATGTTTAAAGGGAAGAAGCCAGAGAAAGTGGCATATATAAAGTACATATCGCCAGCAGGATCTTATCAGGCTTGGAGAAAGAGACTGCACAGCGTGCAGGAGCTTCAACTTTGGGCTCAGAAAGTGATGAAGAGGAAAGGATTGTAGGCTCTGAAACATTGTCAACATCATCAAGAGAATTGAACGATATAAGTGACAGCCCTGTACTGCATACAGTGGACACATCAACATCAAGGTACGGCCGAAAGAGAACACGGGTCGTCCGGCGTCCGAGACAGTTACGTGCCATGGCAGAACAAGAAGAAAAACGAAAGACATAAAGAGTGAATGAATCTGGTGAATGAGCTGTAATAAAACTGCAGTTTAACTGGAATGAGTAATTACAAGTTCCCGTTCGATAGAAAGGACTGGTACGAAGCTTTAAAATACGAAGAAATGACATCAAAGTGGTAGATGAACACATTTAAAGAAACCACTGTGAAAAAAGGCTTGACTCTTCCTTAATACCTTTTATAATAAGGGTTGACCCTCCTCAAGGGTCCCATTTTTGGTTTTTGATTACCCTCCCCCTCTGAATCCCCACTCCTTCCCCCAATTAAAAACGTACCTTCCCTTATCGAAAGTTAATAACAGGGAGTGAAATTGCATCTAACACAGATAGCAATGCCTGTCGCGGTGATGGACATTGGCCTGCTTTGTTTACTTTGATTACCTGCTAGAATCATATGGTTTTATTATTGATGTACGTAAGTGTTAACTCACTGTTATACTATTTACTCATTTAATGCAACAGTTTTAACTGCAAACGCGAACTGTGCTGTATTATCTTAACTAGAGGTAACGGTTAACTTAGCTTGCTTCTATGTCCTCACCCCCTCCCTCTACCCCCTGCCTTTTAGGACTCCTACAACAGGGCCGGGTTGTTCAAAGCTGGGTTAAGATAACCCAGGGTTAGTGCGAAATTTAAATTCAGATATGAAAGCTTAAAAAGTAAATTCAGTTTAATTCTTTTTGTCAACAAGTCGATGATTAGATGCTCTTCAAAATAACAGAGAAAATTATCCGAGAAAATGCTTTTGAAAAACAGAAAAAGGAACCCGGGTTAAAATGAACCATGGGTTAAACGCTAATCGGCC